CTCTATCTCTCGATAGAAATCATATTGTTTATCAAATCAATTGTTTAACAAATTAAGCAGTCCTGGACCTCATGACCTCTACAAGGTCATTCTTCTAGACTCTGGCTATTTCATTTTACCTGTGGGGACATTTTGCCCCCTCCTCTGACCCTTCTGTGGGTCAGTTTCTCCTAGAAGTATATATTTCCCTTTTCCTTAGGCAGAATGCTATACATGAATATTCAGCACTCTTCTAGAAGATGGTCTTCCAGTGCACCAAACTCCCTTCAGATTAACCTATAATAAAGTCTACATCATCTATAAGCAGAATACAACTCCTCACTTTTGGGAAGGGCCTACAAGTTTCTGAGGGTCGTTACACAGTTTTGGACCGGATGTAGGTGATTGACTTCATTGCCATTATTCAGTCTTGTGCCCTTTTATATTCTTTTTCTGGAATATTCTGTGGGAGAGTTAAGCTCCTCTGTGACCTTCTATGAAGTTATCTTAAACAGAAAACCTTCACTCAGAAATAATTGAAAATAATTCAACAAGTACTACATTGAAAATTACCCTATTAGGTGCCAAAAAAGAGAGGGTTTTTGTTTGTTTGTTTGTTTGTTTTTTACCCCAGCAGGTATACTACTTGGTTTTGAATCCATCATTGTCATGTTCTGCCTCAACCTTCATAAAACCAGCAGAGGAAACCTCATCATCGCAGACGTACCCACAACTTCCTCAGTTCAAATCTGCCCTCAGACACTTACTTAACTGTGTAACCCTAGATAAGTCATTTAACTCTGTTTGCCTCTGTTTCCTCATCTGTCAAATGAGCTAGAAAAGGAAATGACAAAATTACTCCAGTATCTTTGCCAAGAAAACCACAAAAAGTCTAGCATGACTAAAAGGACTGATCAACAACAACTTCTCAGTTAAGCAAAAAAAAAAAAAAAAAATGTAGTTTTCCCAATATGAAATTAAAGGCACGGTTGAATGATGTGATTATATCTGCTTGCTAACCAATTTAAACTGGGACCTCTGTTTTGTTTCCTGTAAAAAGAAACCAGTTTAGGCTGACCTCACCCCAAGAGACAGTTCTTCTGCCCTTGTCTCTTCTTGAAAAACTAGGGATGGTTTGATTTTCCTCAAGGGAACAACTAACCAGGTGGTCCTTACTGTAGTGGTTCTGATTTTCTGGCCATGATTATTAGTTGAGGCTCATAAAGCAACTAACACTCCTTGATTGTCAGAGGGGCATGATCATCCACACCTGAAGGCCAACCTACCTTTCCAGCTGTAGCCAATTGTGATATTGCCCAACCATCCAGAACTCCTTTCCTACATCACAATAAAGAGGCTTCCCCCAACCCCTCCATGATCACTAACCTAAGGGAGGAAGCCAGTCTGACCCACATTATTAACAGCTATACACATAATTGTTAATCAACTGTTCGCTTGCTCAGAGAAAATACACCTCAGTTTCCCTGTTATTGGCATTTTACATGCCACAATAGATAGGGTTGACAATATATAACCATTTATGCCAGAATGAGCATGTACATGTAAAGATTTGGACTCTAGAGAAAGAGAATAATAAAAACAGAAAATAAAGAAACAAAAATTTCCAAGAAAAATATCTACCAAACCAATATGAAATACACAGCCCTTCTCCCCATTCCAACCCCAAGCCAGGCCCACACATTAAGCTTCTTATATCATAAGGAGCAAGACATGTACTGCTCTTGTATACCTATGTCAAAATATCAGCTTGAGTACTCACTGACTGTCACAGAAACTGACAAATGGGGATTCGTCAAAGAGAAAATCCTTTATTATATAACACATGATTTCTCAGGTGTCAGAAGTGCCATTTTTCTCTGTCCAACTTCTTTGAACAGCCTTGATTTTAATCCAGAAATAAATTGAAGAACTCAAAAAGAGAGACTTTTTTTCTAAATGGTATCAGGGAATGATACATATAGAAAAAAACAGGGAAAAAATAGCTCCTGAAGGGTTCTGGCCATAGGGAAAATGCTATACTCAGATTCATTGCTTAATGTGGCAACTAAATACTTAGATGACTATGAATTTACTCAAAATTAATATAATTCTAAAATAATCTTCCATACATCCACAGATATTCATTTATAGACTTGCATAACTTCTCTTTTCTTAACATCCTGAAATGTATAATTTGAAATAGTCCAAAATATGAGGATGATACATATCACGTCATGTCAGGCAACTTGAGTTAAGAAAAAAAAAAAACTTCTAGAGCAGGAGTTTATAATTTGGGGTCCATATAGTGGGGGTTCAATGATAGATTTTGTAGGTACATGAATTTGGATGAGAAAATTACAACTTTAAGTGATTCCCATTGAAATTCAAAATATTGTATTTTCTGCATTTAAAATCATTATTCTAAGGAGTCAATAGGCTTTACTAAACTCCCAAAGGATTCAATGACACACTAAAAAAGGTTAAGAACCCTTGTTTTAGAGAATATAAAGTCAGTTTGCTCTGCACTACTTTTCTTGTAGAATTTAAGCTTCTTTAAGGCAGAGACTCTTAACTTTGCATCTCTGGTGCCACTCACGGTATCTCACATACAGTGAATGTTAATTAATATTTGTATATCTGAAATATTTATTGAATTCATCAATCATTTGATGTGTGAAAAAAATGAAAAGAATTCAAAGTTGATAGTGAGAAATTAAGACTAATATAAGAAGATTGAGGAATGGAGAGAATGAGAGATTGGTTAGAAAAACTGAAATTTATGGGGCATATAATAATCAAAATCACATTTCAATGTATTTTTGCAGAAAATATGATCTAGGATTTTTGATCAAGAGGAAGTGATTTCTCAGAGAAACTGGCATAAAAAAAGGACTGAAAGTAGAAAGTAGGATTTTGAGATGTGGAGTTGAGAGGTGATAGCATAAGGCACACACAGACACACACATACACACACACACACAAATGAATCTGAATTTCTTCAGATATGCTTCGAATTAGAAAGAAAAGATTAAGTCAAAGAATAAGATAGACTAGATGTCTGAGTACACATAAGAGAGACAGAAGAGTAGAGTTAATAGCCAAGATGATTAAAATATATAGTTTGTCAGAGCCATGGTAAGGTTTTCACAAGGTAAAACAAATTGAAGATCTAATGGTAGTTATCAAAGGTCTTTCTATATATTTAATTGATAATGTCCCAAAGTGTTATGAGTTAGTTACCTTAAAATCAAATTAAGTATTCAGTTTTCCCCTAGAGAGCTGAAATATAATCCCTCAAGGAAAGAGTCATACCTTGTTTCTATTGATCAGGTTTGGAAATAAGATATATGGTCAGAATGTGTCCCATTAGATTAATTTCATTTGGATAATAATTTATTAAATATTTATTATGTTCTGAGTTTCATGTGATAGAGCTATACAGAAGGTTTTTTTTTTGTTTTGTTTTTTAATAAAGTCCCTCCTATCAAGGAGTTTTCCATCTATTGGTAAATCAAAGATACACTTAACTATGATAGAAGGTAAAATTTGAAAAAAATAAAAATAAAAAGAGATTGGGACAAAAAACACTATATTTTGACAAAGAGAGAGAGTGCGCTTTTAGATATTGGTCCATCGATGGACAATTTCTGCTGCACATGAAGAATGAGTTTGTAAAAACTGTCATGCTGCTTCTTAACGACCTTTGGCTAAAAACAGGTAAGTAAGCAAGAATATGGGTCAAGACAATGAATCTATGAGTGATTAAAGGAATAGGACTGCACTGTAAGTAATAAACCTAATGTAAAAACCCAAAGAAAACAACAACTTCAGCTGTGAGGGGGTGACACATGAGGGACCAATGGCTGCAAAGACAGTTTGGGCCAAAGTCATTGGTTCAAACTTTTCATAACCAATAATGCTCTGCTTTTTTATGTTTTCATTGTAAATATGTTTGTAGATGTTCATACAATACATTGCATCTCACCTCACTAATCTACAAATCACCTAATGTTATGTTTGATACCTATCTGTGTTTTTGATATATTCCCCTAATATTTAATAAACCTGAGCAAGGCAGGAGCCCAGTCTTTTCTAAACTTTTTTACCCCCCCTTGCACCTAACACAGAACCCCGCACACAGACGAGACTTGATATATTTGTTGAATGAATAGTCTTTGAGTCATGATTGTTGTTTTATTTCTCAGTCATATTAATAAGAATGTCACAAAGAAATTCCAATATGAGCATTTATGGTAATTAATCTTGCTGGAAAAGAAATGTTATATTAACTCAATATCCAAAACTACTTTCTCCCACATAGAAAGTGAGCTGTGGTGTGATATATTGATTTCACATGTTAAAAATGCTGAATACACACACAAACAATTTAAGTGGAACAATCATCATAGATTCACCAACATCCTATTTTTAAACCCTGTTTTAATTTTTTTTAAATTAGTCAGGTTTCAGAAGAATTATGTGTACAGGCATGTAGTATGTTTAAGAGTCCCAAAGAATTCAACATAAAATAAAATTCTACTTTCTCCTAATCTTCATTGGTATTCTTCAAACATAAACAGAAGCTACCATCTAATCCACCTAGGGCTGCACTGTACAGACTGAAAAATTGTCACTCTGGTAAAATCTGAGGTGGTTCAGAAATATGGAAATACCTTTTGCCTTTCCAGATATATGGGAATTGTCACTCAAGCACCACTTCATAACACAAAATAGACACAAACACAGCAATATGAAACCTAAAGCCTCAGGTTAGGATTACTAAAATTAAGTCTAAGACAAGAATATTTTCAGGTGGTAACAGATACTTATAGATAATTATTGAAATCCCAAATTCTTAGCTTTGCTGTCATGTAGGCAAGCACTGACACTTTTCCAGAAACCCATCACCCCAATCTCAGTTGTCATGTACACAGTGCTACACTGAATGTACATTACTGAGTAAAGAAAGCAGAAAAAAGGAGCCAGGAGCAATCATAAACTGAATCTTGTACAGCACTTACGGAATGCTCTGTAGAATTCTTCAAGGGCTAGATGCTTGTCCGAGTTAAAGTCATCATATTTCAGCAGATCAAACAGTGAACAATCAGACAGATCCTTGCCAAGTTCATCCTGTTTTATTACCTGACAAGAAAATTATAACCATGAAATTACATTGGGGTCTTTAGAGTCCTCTGGTATAATTAATTGTTTCTAATAATCATTTAATAGATCATTTGAAGGCTGCTATGGAGCAATGAACTGAAACTATGTAAAGTCAGGGATTTCCGGTTACTTTATAATTATTTATTACAGTTCGAAAGTTAATACCTTTAGGACCATGACACCGGGTTTACATAAAATTTCATGAAATATGAGCTTCATAACATTTCAGCATTGAAAGCACACTCTGGATGAGCACCAAAGTAGTCTTTGTTCTAGGATCACTGATGAAGACAACACCACTTAAAGAAGGCATTTTGGAGCCTATTCTTTCTGGCCTAAAACAGAAATAGCATCACAAATTTAGAGTTGGGGGGGGGAGGCAGAGACAGAGAGACAGATGGAAAGAGAGACAGAGAGACAGACAAGAAAGAGAAGAAAAGAGAAGAGAAGGAAAGGGAAAGGAAGGGAAGAGAGGAAGGCAAAGAAAGGGAAAAAAGAAGGAGAGGGGGGAGACAGACAGAGAGAGAGAGAGAGAGAGAGAGAGAGAGAGAGAGAGAGAGAGAGAGAGTTAGAGCTGTCTAGGCAGACTAGGTGCCAGATTGAGCATTTGAAATCTGGTCATCTCACTTCAAAGGCACCACTCTTTATACTCCACTATACTGAATTCATTCATTATACACTTCACAGCATGAATAAATGATGGATTAGTCTTTTTCTATCCCCTCTCTCTATTGCCCAAAGAGTTTATTGAGGAAAATATTATATAATTGGCTAGATTTTAGAGAATTTTGGAATGATCATTAACTCTTCATGTCAGGGTCTGGCACCATCAATATGACTATTATGATGTCACTACTGTAGATATTGATATAGATGAGCTGAGGGACCACTGAGCAGCACTTCCATATTGTGTGATCTACTTTCATGAAAGACTGTAGATACAATAGATGGGATTTACAACCATAACCTTTTAGACTCCATAATATATGTGTGTGTGAACACATACATGCATACATACATGCAGATGGAAAGACACTGAGTGACCTGACCAGGTATATGTAATATATTTTAAGAAAAGCTTGTGAAAGCATGTTAGTTTCTAAGTTCTTAGTTTGGTACTCTCTCCTCAGCTAAGAAAATTTGGTTGTGGCTGCACAGTTTGTATCAGAGACAAGTCTGGAACTCATTTCTTCCTGACTTAAAGATTATTCCTCTGTCCACTAAAGCCATTGTTTCTTCTCAACTACATATACCATTTTTATGTAATTTTATTTTATAACCATGTTCTCAGACATCTGAGAATAATGTAATTATTTTCCATTCCTCATAAACATTTTTTTTTCTTTCACATTGACATACCTAACATGTTTGGAATTATCATAATATACTATGGAAACTCTGATCTTGTACATAGGATTGAAATTCAGTTGGTTAACCTGACAATCTTCTATCTTAGGGAGACAGAAAAATGACTTATCTTTATTGATTGATACATAGACCTAGATATTGGGGACAATTCCTGCATTAAGTGCTGAGCTACTTGTGCAGTGTGGTTGGAGGGCTTAACAAAATTTCCTTATGGCAGAGGTCATCTCTGTAATCATTCCTATGGGTCCCCCAAGTACTTTTTTCTTCCATGGAAATAAGAGGAGGCTCAGATATCCTAATGTCCTAATTTATTTGATCACAGGAAAAGGTATTTCCTAGGGAGAATTTTTTTTTTTCCTTTCTCCTCCCTTGATATCCTTTCTCTCTTTCCAAACATTAATCAATAATATAAGAACTTAGGATACAATGGGACAGAGTTTGTAAGGTATTCTATGAACATCTTTCGTTTCTTTAAGCCTTATATCTACTTTTAAAATTTGTATTGACTGAAATAAGCACAAATTAAGTAGCAGTGTGGGAAGATGAGGAGACTTTTTTTTTTTTATTTGTGGCTGTACAGTTGTATCAAAGAGTGTACGGAAATAATCAGGCACAATGGTATGCCAAAACTGGTTGTAGGAACCTGACAGTCAATTGTTAAATAACCAGTTTGAGTATATACACCTGGGGAATTGGCAAATGTACAAATCAGGGCCTTATTTATTGTTTTTTTTGATTACCTAGACTTAAGAAAATAATGGAGAAAATGTCAATAATACAAATTAAATATAAAAGTATATTGTGGATATATTTTTGGGAGTGAGTTGGTTAATAATAATATAATAATAATTAATAATAATAACTAGTATTTGTATGTCCACTATGTACTAGGCACTGTATTGAGATTTTTACAAATATTGTCTCATTTGATCTTCACAACAACCCTTCAGTAAGTGCTATTACATCATCATTTTACAGTTACGGAAACTGTGGTAAATTAAGGTTATATGACTTGCCCAGGATCACACAGATGGTAAGTGTATGATGCCAAATTTGAAGACAGATGTTCCTAACTCTAGGCCCAGTGCTCTATCCACTGTGCCACATAGCTGCCTCACAACCAAGCAGTTGTTAAACATTTAGACTCCTTTGATAAATAATAGTTGAGAATTCATATGTAAGTCACTCAATTTCTTGACACTCCCAAGCAACTCTCTAAGACAAAGAGAAATATCATCTTTGCCTGTAATTGCACTAACATAAGAAATTTCCACACTGGGAATACCCAAAACTGATGAAATCTCATTTCTAGAACCCCTCCTAAACCCCCACAAAAATATACCTTCAGCATAATTCAGCCTCTTACCTTTATCCAAGAAAAAGGGAAATAGTATTTTCTACCATTTTCTAAATCCCCTACCCTGATTATGTATGTTCAGGTTAAGTTGATTTTGGGATGAAATAGATGGCCTATGGAGAAGGCAGATGGAAGGCTGAGTGTCCTTGAAAATTTTACATGTATCTCAGTCATGTTCCTATCTTGAGTAGTGTTGGGCATGGAGTAGAGCAATGAATATCTAATATGTTGATTCTGTGGACTATTAAAATCAAGTCCGCCAAGAGATATGTGAATGTTTCTACACTGTTTGGAGTTGTCCACTTTTCACAAGACAGGATATATTGGTTTAATTCTGTCACACCTTAATAACTTCAATCCTCTATATTAGTGACACAGAAAGTGGAAAGAAGAGAGAAAGTTATAAACCCAATAATTATATTTAGTATTATTGTTGTTGTTATCATTGTTCTTGTTCAGTTGCTCAGTCGTGTCTGACTCTTCAAGACCCCGTGAACCATGCTATTCATGTGAATTTCTGGCAAAGATACTGGAGAGGTTTAATATTTCCTTCTCCAGTATTCCTTCTCCAGCATGATAATTTAGCTTTTCCACTGTTCATACTGAAGTTTTGACTAAAATAAAATATATTATTTCAACTGAGATATTTATTTGGAAGTTATTTCAAGTAAATAGGCATTTTCTCTCAATGAATATTTTCCACAATATCTAAGAATAATAGCCATTATAAACTCCAAGTAAATTATAATGATGTATGTATTTTTTTCTGAAATGCACAGATGTATGTTTTACTGTTACAACATCATTACAATGCAAATAATCCCAACTCACAAGCCTAGAATTACCTATATACTTTTCTCCAAAGGACCTTATTCAAAGGAATGTCAATACTGAGGAATAGTTCTATCATGGATAGTACCCAAGTGCTTCTCTTTCTCTCTCTGGCAGCTGCTAAGGTAATTTTTATTGGCTTTCCCCCAAATACAGCTTCTTAGGTGCTCAAATATATTCATGTATCCTACCAGGAGGGGAATGACTCTTAAAATCAATTCCAGCTGGACTTGCTGTGACTAGGGAAACACTAAGTCAGGTTAATCTGCCCTGGACCTTCAAACACCCCAAACCATCCAAAAACTGCAATTATCATGGGAGAAACAAGGGAGTATCCTTTTCTCCATCCCCCTTTTTTTCTTCTTTCTTTGTCTTTTCTTTTCTTGGGGTGGCATTTTTTTTCTGAGTTCATTGCCTCTTTTTTCCCTTCATTAAACAAATATTTATTTTTTCTGCCCCCAAATCTCCTTTCCACAATTAAATAAACAAAACAAATAGCTTCCCTGTTCCTACTCCCAGAAAATATACAGAGTCAAACAAAAGAAATATCCTTGCTGTCCATAACTAAAAATGCATCTGTCATTCTGAATTTTGAGTCTATGTTTATTCACTTTTTAACAAATACAGTATACTCAACTACTTAATAGAATGATAACAAACAACTAACTAACACTTATGTGGAACTTCAAGGTATACATAGCTCTCTGCACGCATTATCTTATTTGATCCTCATAATATTCCTGAAAGCAGAATTATATAAATATTATCAACCTCATTTTTATTGATGATGAAACTGAATCTAAGAGGGATTGACTTATTCAAAGTCACATAATAGATCTTATTTTAAGCTTCCAATAATGAAAGAAAGATGGATATTTCCAAAACTACACACAAACAGAAATCTGCTTGTAGTTGCTACCTTACCCAAATTGTCAAATATGTAAATAATCTTTGAGTTCACTGATATGAATTCGCTCACTGTTTATACCCTATCCATCTCTGCCCATTTTATCCTACTCCTACATGTTTTCTTCATAAATTTGCTACAGAGGGTCTATCCAAAGTGCTAGAGGCTTACCAGACTTTCTCTCAACATCAAGTATTTTAGTGTAGTACCTGCCAGCCCATGTTCTTTTTTTGCTCATATTTCTGTAATGACATCCTATATACAGCTTCATAATTCATCATTCCTGTAATGTATTTTATAGTATTAATGCCCATTGTGTGCCCCTCCATTGCCTTCTTGATAATTTTCAATTTCAGTTTTTCAGACTGTAGTAATCCATAACATACAGTCATATAAATGGACAATGACTGAGGCCTAAATTGAAGTCTCGACTATTATGAATAAATGAACCATGGCCAAATACATGGTTACTGAGAATCTGCCACTGGAAATTTCCAACTTCCAGAGTTCTCATGG